CAAGAATTTCGCATCGACGCGTCATTATATTATATTACTCGTTCCTCTAAAAGGGAAGAAATGCCTACGACATTTAAGACTAATTGAATTTTTACATTGAAACGATCTTTTGACATAATGAGAGAGCACTGAGATAAAGCCAAGGCAGTCTGCTGTAGTGGGAGCGGGATAAAAGACAACTATGCCGTTCTACCACACAAATCATATGTAATTCCTACTCTCTTGCTGTGAGAGCATGTGAGCGTGTCTCGAACCGAACCTGGTCCCATTCTTTTACTCTAATTGTCCAGTCTGTATGTTCTCTGAGATTTTGCATTATTGATATACAATATACCCTTTTATTGCCATTGCAATGGTTATAGGGTGTCGAAAGACGCTGATGGCTTTTGCAGAATTCCAGTTGGCCATGTTATGAAGGCTTCTCCGTTTGGTTGTCCTGGCAACTTAATGCGCAACCAAGAAGCACACAACCAGCCATGCTTCACTTCTTCAAACATATTAAATGCACTTGGTTAGCGCATCAGATTGAATTATTATTTTCGATAATTAGTTCAGGCCCCTCAAAACTGAACAATTCGATATACATACATAGATTTCAGATTTCGAATTAGATTGTGATAACAGCAGCACAAATTTCTCATAGATTCTGAGTGGTATTTTTTCATCGAGCTAAAGTTGTTCAAGCATTTTCATGGTTCACATTGGCCCGGCTTATGTCGAAACTTTTCGCAGCTGACAGTTGATGCCAAAGTTGCTGTTGCAGCTGCAGTTGATGCCGCTGCTGCCGCTGATGCTGCTGCAACGTGCTGCGCATCAGTGTTAACAGGCTTTTATGAATAAATATTGCACTGAGTGGGGGCTGGGGCTGGGGCTGATGCATAAAAGAGGTGCCCTGGGGTATTAACTGATGCAATGCTGAAAAACTTTAATTGAATGGATGTACAAAAAAAGAAAAAAAAAACTAATAAATATTATAAATAAACGAGAAAGAAGGGCTATCTACGGCACGCCGATGATTTAATACCCTTACAGACCGAACATTTTACAATTCTCATAATGCCCGCATCGAAGAAGCACAGTGAAAATAGCTAATGCCAGGCATGGTTAAGATATTTTAAAAAGCTGAAAAGCTTTTCATGCAAGAACCTCTTTCTCGACCGATCGTTCCTCTGGCAGCTATATAATATAGTGGTCCGATGTACATAAGATTTTGTAGAGAATATAGTGAAACTTATAAATTGCGAGTTACTTGAAAAACAAAAAAGTTTTCCAAAGAACAACTTAATTTTCGACCGATTGTTCCTATAGCAACTACGTGATATAGCAGTCCGATATGGATAATATTTTGTATATATATAAGAAGCATAGTAGAACTAATAGGTGCAGAGTTTTGTTAAGATATCTTGAGAAACAAAAAAGTGTTTAATACAACAACCTAATTTTCGTTTGTTCGTTCCTATGGCAGCTATATGATATACAGATCCGATTCAACCGGGTCCGACATATGTACTGCGTGCAACAGAAAGAGGAACTTCTGCTAAGTTTTATGACGATAGCTTTAAAACTGAGAGGCTAGTTCGCATAAAATTAGACAGGCGGACTTGGCTATATCAACTCGACTGTTGATACAGATCAAGAATATATATATTTTATGGGATTGGAGATGTCTTCTTCTATGCGTTACACGTTTCGACTCAAAGTTATAATACCCTGCTGCAAGGGTATTCAAAATGAGACAGCGCGCGAACGGTAAGGGCTCACAGCGCAAATTGCAATTTTGTAAATTGGCAATTTGCTGTAAAACTGTTGATTTTAATTAAGGCTTAATTAAAGTGTTTACCAACGTATAAATAAATAAACTTGGCCAGAAGTCAATCGTTAAATATGTATGATCACACACAAAAAAAAAAATATCGCATAAAAACCGGTATTTCCAAAAACTGTCAACATCTGCCGGCGGAGGGGCGGGTATTGTGCAAACAGCTTAATATACTCTTACATAGGGCATTACGACTTTATAACGCAACAGCGCCTCCGACATAATAAAGTGTTTCGAATATATTCCTGCACAGCAAATACACATTCGATCTAATAACCCTTCTAAAAGACATATATGCCTGCTAGAGTATTTAGGATTCGGCGATGTGCTTGCTGGTTACGTTTATTTTGCTCAAGGTCAGTCGCTTCTAGGTGCTGAATAAACGTGTGCGTTTTACAGACGCTTCAGCCACATTTTTAATGAGCACATTTACCTTGGCCAAAGCTCTTTCTTTGAGCCATCTACACGGGAGCTTCTTAGCCCACAGCCTTTGCGATTAAAAGGTGACTATTTTGCAGTCAGCTGCATTCGACAAAGTTCTAAGCTGTTTATGATCAAAGAACAGCTGAAACTGGCGAATCTGTAGGTTTCCTCAATTTATTCGGCCATTTAATCAGACAAGGTCAATCCAAGCGGAGTAGGGTATGACATCTCCTGCTCTATATGCTGGAATCATAATTGTAAACCCTAAGTTTCTCTAAGTGTATGCGGCTGAGCCTATGCAACTTAAGCCCTTGACGGGGTATGCCCTGCCAAACTTACCAATCACACAGCGGGCACAGCTCAAGCTTATTACAAACTTGGCCCTTAATACTCCCCCGGGTGATTATTTGTGCTGTGTGTGTGAGATATTGGATGCTGTTGGGCGCCTTTTAGTGGATTGAATAACGTCATTTTCATTGGCATTTGCCGTATTAGGCGACGAGTCATTGGTCGAAATTGCTCAATGACACAATGGCAACGAAATTGCCTCAATGTTTCTTACTCAGCAGAAAGGGGGGGCGGGGAATCGAATTTGCATTTAGAGCCGGGGAAAGAGAGAATCGTATTTGACAATTTGTAGGCAAACTGTGAATTCACTGAAACGGATGCCGTTTGTGTTTGTGAATCATTCGCAGCTCTGATTTCCGAGATGACAAAAACAGTTGGACGAGAGCCACAAAAAGCCGCCTCCGGCGACGGTTCCTCTACATTCTGAGCTCCAGCTATAAGTTGATTTTTCTTAAAGTTTGCAAGTTTTGCCTCCGACTGAATGAATATGAATATGAATATGAATATATGTATGTGTATGTATGTGTGTGTATATTCACACAGTTCCGCATTTTATTCATTTATGTAAATACTTTTATGCATTGTCCGGCTGTGTTTGTTAGCATATGGAAATCGCTGACAGTTGCTTTGTTTCTTTATTTTATTTATTTAGATTTTTAGAGTATACGTTTAATAGTTTGCATATTGTGCGTGTTAGTGTAAACAGGTTTTGTTCTTTAATATCGTATTTCGATTTAAGCTTTAGTGGCCTGCATATAAAGTATTTCATAACACAAATTTATATACTTTTACTCGAACTCGGCTTAAATGACAACAAAAATAATAAAATTATGCGTTTCGGAAAAAAAGTCGTTTGATATGTTAAAATGAAATCATTTATCCAACTTCTTGATTTTTTTTTATTACAAACGAGCTGCCTTTTCTGCCAAATGAAAACATTTTAATTGATATTAATGACCATGCCCGGCGTGGCTACGGTTTTCCGTGAGGGAGTGAGGGACAGCCTCCTGCCGCAGACAGCCTGCAGGTAATTAATCTGATTTTTTGGTTCATTCTACTTTTTTAGCTAGCGAAAAAGTATACTAGATGGAATGTTGCCTATTGTTATAGTAATTAGAAATTATACACCTTGGCTGATTTTAATTGAAAACTGAACAGGTTTGCGTATCCAGGTGGGAACGCTTAGTATATTCATATGAGTCAACATTTTTGTTTAAAAAAATACTTTTGCTTCTTCATATGTAAATAAAGATTCATTCAAAATAATAATTAAATAAGTTCAAATGAATCGGACTCAAAGCTGAAACGCAATTGCTGGTTCATAAATAGAACGAATATTGATAGATCAATATCCCATTCTATCGGTCAAACTGATACAACAGCTGATTGCAAAGCTGAAATGGCGACGCAACAAAGGAAACAACAGACGAGGCGCAGCGACAACAAAAACAAACGAGAGAGTTGCAAATTTGATAAGCGCCAGCACCATAAATACAGATATACATATATATATATATGTATGGGTATGGATGTATGTATGGGTTCGTAACAGAATTATTTTCTTATGGTTATGTAGTTTTCCACTACAGCCTTTTATTTATGCATACGATTTTCTTTTGCTGACTAATCAAAGTTAATGTGTGTACGAAGAGACAATCGAAAAGTAAATAAGTATGGCGTACGCGAGCATGCATGTGTTAGTGTAGCCGTGTGAGTGTGCTGTGTTTGTGTTTGTGTGTCGGCACTGTTAAAAACAGCAAAGCGAGCGAAAATAACGCAATTTCTGTAAATTGTATTTCCGTAAATTGTAATTTCTGCAGCAACCGCATTTACATTCAAAAAGCGTTAAGCTGTTGTCCAAAACATTTGTGAATCATAAACAAAAACATAGCTCACCTCCTGATCCTCGGCATCCGCTGGCGTCGTTTGGATTATGGCCAACAGAAAGAGCGCAACTGTTGCTGCTGCGAACAGCTTCATTGTGACAAGTTTTTTGATGTCGAAAATGTCGACAATATAAGCGTTTCGATTTACGCAATTTCACACGTACACAGATGGCACAGACTGTTTGTTTTGTCGCAATTTACGCCAGTTTCAATCAATTTTGTTTTTGTTTTTATACACACACCACACACATTACAAATTGTACTAACCGTCGTCGTTCACAGACGAACTCGCACTGTCAAGCAGCCGTTGCTCATCTATTAACTTTACATTTCATAATGCTATTAACAGCGGGCGCCAACTTTATTCTGTTTAAGTTTGCAGTTGAAGATTTGTTGCAATTTGAATATTTCAAATTTCTTAATGCGGTTTGATGCGAAATATGCAAGTGTTAATTTAAACTAAATGTATTTTTCTTGCCAGCGGCGAACTTTGTTGCGAAATGGCAAAGCCAACCAAATGTTGAAATTAACAGCTGCTGACTAACAGCTCAGTATCATTTCCCAACAGCTAACCAATCGATAGTTACAATGCGATAGTTAAATGTGGGTGACCATAGACAACGATAAAAACGTACATCTCTAGAAGGTGGAACATGCTATATTAATTAAAGCTGAAATAAAAATGGGAAAATCTCGCTGTTTGTTTCTTAGATTAAATATCATAACATATGACAGTCATTGCTACGAATTTCATAACATTAAATCAGTACCAGAGCGTGGGGTAACCCGAGAGCAATGCTTGGTAACTGCTGGCAACCGTGACCCCCAAACATAATGGATCCAAAATATTGATAAAGCGCAGTGCATTTAACCATTTCCACTGGAGCAGATATGAGCACTCACATGGGCCGAACATATTTGAATTCCTGTGTCAAAGTGCCTATAGATCCGTGCAATAATTGTCCGGCACCCGTCTATAATCGGCCCAAGCTTTGCATGGGCAAGAAGACCAAGGTGTCGGCCTCGAGCTGCAAGCAGCAGGATGCAGCAGTCGCATCAACCTGGACAGATCAGGCGGGCATTAGAACACTGGCCAAGTTCTACGACAGCATACCAGGTATTTGATACTTTTTTTGGCCCACAAAAAATTGACCTAATTGGAACTCCTGTTAAAGACTACTGTGAGGTGAAACATCTGCACAAAGCCGAATTCTACTCAACTCTAGAAAGCTTACGTACCACCAGCCGAGAGCTGCGCGCTCTGCCCACACACCCAGAACTGAAGGAAGCTCGCGCCAGCAGCAGCAGCAACTGCAGTGCAACCAAACCGCGGCACGTCAAAGGCAAGAAACTAAAGAAGAAGACGCCCCGCATACCTCCGCTAATCTTGGCAGAGCATCCCATCATGCCTACTCCCCCCGACATAACGCACAGTTCTAGCTGCCTCAGCGATGAGTATGAAAAGTGCGTGCGTGATTTGAGCCGCATCACAAATTTCAAGCAGGAATTTGCCCTTGAGGTGGCAGACTTTAAACGATCTCTTAAGCTGTTCGAGAAAGAATTCAAGCGCAATGCCGAGCGGCCCAAATCGACCAGTAGTAGCACGCAAGCCAGCAAGGCTGCGCCATCAGCCAAGGTGCCAGCTATGCACACCGCAGCACGCGCAAAAGTCCGCAGCGAAATGCTGCGGAAATGCTTTAGTGTGAATGATTTGAGTGCCAGCTCGACGCCAGCGCCCAAGTTGGAACTGCTAACGCTGAGCAACTATTTTCCGACTAAAGAGGTACCTAAGTTACACATCGAATCCCCGCCGGCATCTTCCAAACGTAGTAGCTGCAGCGCCGCTTCAGGTTCAAGTCGCGTTCGCCGGCGACGTGCTCGAACGGCGAAAGTAGCGGCAGTGGATACGGACCAGCAACAGCCTGAGCTACTGAACATCTTTGAGGTAGAACAGGTGCCAACAAAGCGCACATCTAGTGTGTCCCCACAGCATCCGGTGGCACGACCTAATCTAGCAGCCACACTACGAGCCGAGGTTTCACGCAAAAAGGTCAAGGAGCTGCAGAACAACTGCACGTATCACGATCCCAGGCCACAATTTGACTGGGAGGTGCGAAAAACGCCCGCCTGGAAATCGCTTTCACTTAAGTGAGTTTAATGGATCAAACTAAATAATACCCAATGTTATCTAATGTTTGATCATTCCAGCGAGTCGCATAAGGCACTGCTATCCATACGTCTAGCCACACGCAAGGCGGAGCAGGCGCTGCAGGAGCGTCAATATGAGCTGCACATGCAAATGATGAAACAGCGTGTCAAGTCCGCGCCACTGCTGCTAGAGGGCCCCACCTTCTGGGGCCCAGAGGTTGGCAAGCTCAGCCACAGTTGCCGCAGTGAGGGCATGCGACATGCCTGTGAGAGCAGTCTACAACGCCGGAGTAAGCAGCCCAAGAAGAAGTGCAGTAGTAGCCGATGCCCCACAGCCGTCACCGACGCAGAGGCCAAACTGCAACAGATACGTAAAATCTATGGCTCTCCGCTCAAGTGCAGCTCTCGGCAATCTCAGCGCTCCACCTCGCGTCGGCGCCAGGTGGAACAGACGCCCGAACCGCACGACAGCGGCGATGATTTATGCAGCGTCGATCGCGCCTTTCTGTAAACCAAAAACAACAAACACAATACAAATGACGTGAAACATTTCTCTGATTCTGACAAAGTTGTATTCCTTTATTCAAGGCTGTTTAAGTGTGTGCAGCGCCACAAAGTCTTCTACAACCGGATAAGAGCTTCTCTCCTCCTCGCTGAGCGGAACATTGCCAGGCCGTTGTAGCAAAATGGTGAGCATACCTGCAGCACGAGCAGCTGCGGCCTCTGTGAGCGGGAAAAAAAAGTTAAGAACAGCGGAAAAGCAGAGTATAAGTAAACGATATAGTTACTGTGATACGCACCGAGCGGCACATCCGTGAGGAAAAGCACATGCTGCGGTTCCACCTGCAGTATTTGGGAGATTTTCGTGTACGACTCCGTCTGCTGTTTGTGTCCCACGTGGGTGTCAAAGTGTGCACTGAGATGTGGCAGCAAGTCGCCAGCTATGCTGTGCTGGAAAATCAGCTTTTGGGCAGCCACGCTGCCGCTCGAGTAGACGGCAATGCGGAGGCCAGCCTCACGCCAGGTATGGAATGCGGTAGCCACATCCTCATATACACTGCGATGGGAGAGCGCGAAGTATTGTCAAGTTTAATCAGACGCTTTGGGTCTAACTTACTGTCCCCTTAGCTGTCCGGAAGCGTAGCCCTTGGCCCAGATCAAGCCCTGCAGCGTTTTTAAAGGTGTCACCTTCAAATCTCTCTCGATAAGATAACGCACAAATCCAGCGATAAGCTGTGCGTCTACTGCGGGCTGAGTACCCAGAGTCGACGCATATTCTGCGAATTGGGGCAGCAGTTGCAAATCTTGTACAATTTGTTTTGTCGCATCCGTTTCCCATGTTTCTAGCAGATAGTGCTCCGCATTTTGTTTGGCATACGGAAAAAGTACTTCATGCACGAAACTTATTGACGTTGTTGTGCCCTCAATATCCACTAACACTACTTTGGCGGTTAAATCTGGTATTGTCATCTTTTTCAAACAAACGTATTTAAAATATATATAGCATCTGATTTCGTTTTAAATGTTAAGTTGCTCTGCTAACAACGGACCGGCTTGCCAACATATATCGGTAGCTGTGCATCGAAATCGATTAATCGATAGTGCTGTGATAATTGACTTGGCGCATACTTGCGCATTTTCCAGCACACAGGGGTGTATATGTACCTTATTCGATTGTTCTTGTGAGCGAACAATTGCTATCGATAGTACTAGTTCATTTCGGAACGACACTTATCATCGTGAAAGTGAATAGCATAATTTTTATTAATTTGCATTTGCAAGCAATTTTTGTTGTTGGTTAAAAACGCCGAGTTGGTGTCCACGAGTAAATAAATGCAACGTGTGTGTTACGATCGAAATAAAATGCAATAACGCGCAAAACGGTGATTGGTGAACGGTAAAGAAAGCAAAAGCAGTGGTGACAGACGCAGCTGGCAGCAACAAAAACCACATATCATCTTATTGTTGCTATTTTTTGGCTGGGCCTACGTGATTAAAATGCTTACAGTATAGTATAGGCAGAGAGTCCAATAGCAAAATGAGGTCAGGTGAAATGGCCTGAAAACTAATTGGCCCACACGCGCCGTCGTCGTCGTCGTCGCCGCCGCCGCCGCCGCTGCTGCTTCTTAGTTGTTTTTGTACAATATTCCAAAGTGTGGCTATACATTGCGGGGGAGTGGAAAAACGGCAATTGACGTTGCCAGACAGACGTTCAAGGTTGCCAATATGCTATAAACAGGGGACGCGACAAGGACATGCAGAAGCCACAAATGTCGTCGTCGCGGGCACGCTGCGCCATATGCGGCACAGTTGAGCAGCTGCTGCGATGCGCCAAATGCAAAAGCATTTACTATTGCTCCATACAGCATCAGCATCTAGATTGGCCGACCCATCGACATGACTGCCGCCTGCTGGCGCGACAAAAGCAGAACAACAACAACAGCAGCAACAGCAACAGCCACAAGATTCAGCAGCTGCAACAGGCGGTGGCTGCCACAACGCTGGATGTGAGTGGCGCCAATTGTTCGACTGCCCAAATGATGACGCCGGCAGCTCAGGCCCAGAGCTGGCCAAATGAACTGGACGAACTGTTCAATTGCTTTGGACAGCCCTCGCTGGCTACCCAGACGGCACAGGCCGACATTAATCAGCACCATGGGCATGGGCATCATCATCATAGCCAGCACAACGGTGAGAAGAGCTCCAGCTATCAGATTGGCCAGGCGGATGCCAGCTTCATGGGCAGCGGCAGGTGAGTTCACAATGAGTTCTCATCACCATCAAAATAAGCTTACTTTTAACTGTTTCCCTTTCGAACAAGGTATTAAAAGCAAATGCAACGTTTACAATATCAAATCTCGGGTCTTTTTAGTTAACATCTGGTGCACATGCATCTAATTTTGAAGTAAATTATGACTAATATATGATGGCCGAAAAGGTTATTAAATTAGTTAAGTTTTAAAAATGTTAGCTAGTTTCACCAGCTCCAGAAGCGATGGCGACTGTTTGATATAGTCCTCGGTCTCCATGTACTTGGGCTTTTGCCTAGCCCTTCTCGTTGGACTTTTGTACGTATTGCACTTGTCCAGCACACGCTCAATCTCCGCCAGGGCATCACTGCTGCTCTGCTGTCCGCTGTTGTCGGGCGCCACAGACATCTGCTCCCATTGCGGTCGCAGAGGATGGGCACTTTCTGTGCAGGATGGCTGGGCCGCATAAATTGTGGCTACCGCAGCGCCGGCACCCTCGATCATGGCCAGCACCAATCCTCCGACCAAGGCACCATTGCCCATTGCTTTGATGCCGTTGCGGGCAGCAAGTATGCCGCCCGTGGCAGCGCCACTTACAATAGAATTCCAAGAGTCCTCTCGCTGCCTATAGTAGACCATGGTGCAGTCAACCGTGCTGAATGTGGCGCCCCAAACGGCAAAGCTGCCGGCTATTGCCGGCGTTTTCATCTTAACAGAGTCCAAGCCGCCGTAAAGGCCGCGCAAAATACCAGTTGGTGCATTTCTGAACCCCCTCATATACTGGAACATGGAGCCACCGATACAGCCCATCATAAAGGCACAGCCGCAATCCTCCACAATGCGTATTGGACATGGTTGACGTGTGTATTCAACCATTGTTATCAAGACTTCAAGATTTGTTCAATTGGTTCTTTTGCTAGCTAAATTTCGTAGTGTCCAAGTGTCGGCGGGTCACTGTGAATGTTCGATCTTTGGGCAAAATTTTTTTACTATACAGAAAACGTGTGTTCTTGAAACTAATTTTTGAACAAACATTATATCAAACATTTGTTACACAAAATTTACAAATACCACAAACCTATTGATCAAAGCAACCTGTCCAACTTTCTCTTCAAATCAACCATCCAATGAATTTCCTCTGAAAATCCAACAAGAATTCTTTAAAAACTTCAATTTTCAAGCACAATGGGATCCGGTAACGGAACATCGATTCCGCCTTTCCAGTCCAATCCTTATAAAGCATTCAACTGTTCGTCGAACTACAAATTAGTATTAAGCTCCTAATATATTTTAGAAATATATTCCAGAAAATGTTTCAAAAAAGGGAATCTATCAAAAATATATCTTTCCGACCCAGAACGTCGCCCTGATCAACATTAGATACTTTCTAATTTTTATATTTGATAATTGTTTGGAGCAATGGATCTATGACAGAGAACTTAGAAAAATAAGCAATCCATATAAAATATGTGAAAACTAAAAACATTTAAAGTATGTAGCTTAAATTGCATATTAATCTGGAATATATGTATGCAATTTCTTGACATTATCTTCTATATGATTTATTGGGTCGGAGATATGTACCTCCTTCTGCCAGTTCTATGCAATTGCACAAAATCTCAGTTTCAGAATATAAAAAGCTTTAAATAACTTTAAAGTTTCAATAGTTGTATTTATTAAATTAAGAACAATTTAACAAAGAGATTCCACACAGAGATTCTTATTAACAAATTATACATGTATAACGCGATAAAGCCAACGCCCCGGAAAATGCGTACTTATGAATGTACATTCTACATTCACGCCTGCATACATACATACATACATACATACATAGATAGTTGCTTACACACATGCACGCACAAGGCGCTAATTAGCGATAAGCTATACGTGCTCGGATCTTTGGCGCTGCTGACTGCAGGCCCGTTAATTTATGGTGTTCTTTTTTTCTTTTTTTTTTTTTTTGCCAAAAGCAAATATATGCCCTGCGATTAGATTTGGTGCAGTTGCGAATATGGCGCATGGCGTACGTCGTCTGGAATGTTTACTGTTTATTATTGCCGTTACGTGCAGCGTCATGTAATGCATATGGCCGAGTTGAGACGAACCGAGCCGAACTGTCGCGATTCCCATACCGAGTAGCTGCACGTACACACCTGAGCACATTGTTTGATTTGTTAACACCTCTTGCGAAGTGCAGTCGCATTTACTGAATGGCGCCGCTTACTTTGTAATTATTCTGTTGCGCAGTTGGCCGGTCCAAATTGTTTCTACATACATACATATATTTTCTTTTATTTACACATGCTGTTCAAACAGATATAAGAGAACACACACACACACACACACGAAAGTACACACACACCAGCACACAACTGGCAAAAATTCTAATTGCAAATGGCCGGCCGATGACTTTAGTGCTGATTCATCGATAAATTTGCGAATTTCTTTTGTCGTTTTGTTTTGCTAATCGTCTTTGGTGGGTGGTCTTCGTGCTTCTTCCACTTGGGTGGCCCTTCTCAATTGTTTTGCGTACGTGCCGTGCGTACGCAAGTCTTTACGTTGTTATTTGGCTGCTTATCTGATTGGCAAGTTTTTGCTGCGTTTTCAATCTTTCGTAGGCGCTGCTTCGCGTCTTTAGATTGCACCCGGTCTGTTGTTATTTATCAAACAATTAGAAATGGCATGTCGCATGATCTTAGTTCGTTCATTTCTTCTTACAAGCAAACATATGTATGCATATTATCTATGAAAGTGACAGATTGGTCAGACTCGCGGCTCTTTTCAAGCAACTTTCGGCCCCCTCGACCCTCTTACAAGAAATTAGCTCAAGATCCACACAATCCATTGCTGCCATTATATATTGCAAACATTTTACAGTTGTCTTCTGCTGCGTGCATTGTAGGTGATACAGTTTGCAGCCCTACAATGTGCCTAGCAACAAACAAGACGATAATCGTACATACATACTTACGTATGTATGAAGTTTGAACTACGTCTGGCCACGCACGTCACAAGGTCGCCATGAGTGCGTGCTCGCCGCCCTCGACAGCATCGACCACAAACCAGTGCTGAGCAATGGAATTAGCCGTGACTCGCGCGCTTTTGCACATTGTGTATGAATAGTCCTGCACTTTACTCTCTTTAGAGGCATTGTTTTATGAATTATGTTTTATGAGCTATCCGCAAGAATGTCATATTGTACATATTTTGTACAAATTCCAAATTATTTTGTACCCGTCGTTGGCAATGCTAAATGTGACTGTGAAGAAATACTATATGGGACATCTCTGTCGCGTGGTGCACGTGCCATGTTCGCTGACTGCGCACGTAATATATTTAAGGGCTACAATCAATCATTACGCATTGTACGTACATATGTATGTATGTTTTTGGGTATGTTTGTTGCTGGGATCCCTTTCAAAAATGAGTTAAACGGGTGACTTTGAACTGGGCCGTTGACCCAAATTTTGGAGTACGCGCCGCTCTTCATCTGCATACACACATACATACATATATTTACAATGGTACAATACATACATACTCTAATAAATATGTATGTATGCCCATGCATGTATTTACAGCTGTTTCTTTAGTTTCTCGTATTTTTTCCCCCATTCGCTTTGGCAAACAAATTCAAACGGCTTTGTCCATGCCTCTCTCTCTAGTGGCGTCTTCTCTTTCAGTCGGCCGTTTTGATTTTCATGCATGTGCCTTTGTTTTTGTACTGTGCGATGGGCTACGTGAGCGCTAGCTCGTTTATTGTGTGAGTGCTTCGCGTTTGCCTTCTGTGTTTGCATTCGTGTGTGCTGGGGACAGTTGCAGGCAAATTGAAGGGCACGCGGAAATCAGTCGTAACCAATGAAGTTTGATAAAGCCAAAGTTGCCAGCTGTTAGCATTTTCAATTATTTGCAGCTATAAACATAAATATATATTTAAATATATATAAATATATGTAAATACGTAAAGGTAGCGCTATAGCAATAATTTGTACTACTGCTCATACCTCCAAAGCAACTCACAGAGAAATACGTATGCGTTACAAATACATGTGCAATATAATCTCCCACGGTGCGGTCGAGTCGGTCGGCAGTTCACTGCTGCTGCTGTTTCCGTCACCTCAGTAATGAGCGTGCGGTCGGCGCGAGCAGTTCGTACTTTGACGCATATAAATAAAAGTTGTGCACATGGGAGAAAAATTAAATAAAAACAAACAGACTTGCCCAAAAGAACTATTACAATTGAAAAACAATTTACAACAGCTGGTTCTTTATTTGTACCGGTATTTGCCGGACTGTGCTTACCAACACTGTGTCGATACAAAAGCCGGTGCTCTCTCTCTCTCTCTCTCCCTCTCTGTCACTCTCGGACTGTTGCTTCCCACCTGCTCTCAATCGGGCATATAAAAACAGGCAGGCAATTCAAAACTTTCATCAGTTGTGCGTGAATTGTTTCCGGAGTCGTTTCCGTTTAAAGAACAGAACAATTATACAAGTGCAAAGTGTAGAACAAAAGAATAACAATTATTTAATAAAAACCAATAAATCAAATAACGCAAAATGATTACGTCCACGACTGCGGATTATACAAATTTCTTCAAGCATTCGGCGCATCCTGCCAATGCAGAACAATATTTTCGCGAACTTTTGGATAAACGGTAATTCAAATTGATAACTGTTTTTGGCATTACATTTTACAATTAGCATTGTTGTGGTCGATATAGAAACCGGTTTATCACCGTTTTAATGTTGCGATGTATAACATGAGACATTTTTAGTAATCTCTTTTCCAACTTTAAAGTCAAACGCGATTTCCCACAAACTTTCATTTATTGCATTTTTGCATATTACCTTAAAGATCAAAATTGTTGTTATACGAAAATTGTTATTTACTTTGCTTATCCAGACTTCATCTCGTGCCTCGAATTCTCTTCTCTTTTTGTGTGTAGCTGTGTGTGCTGTGAGTTTTTGGACTACGTGACTGAAAGATGTCTAATAAATATAGCAACAATTTTATGGGCTGGAAATCATAAAAAAGATATAAAACATGCAAATGCATATTAATTAAACTAAACAAAATACTTAATACAATTAGTTATTTGCATTTCGATGAGTTTAAACGTTGGCTACTCCCGGGCTAATATGCCAAGGTGACCCAAGAGCTGCAAGGGAGTAGATGATAATCACAGACGAGATGAGTTGAGATTAGGAAGGGATTATGTTAACTAATTTAGCTATTTGTTTGTTTCTATGTTCACAGCGAACGCCGATATGAAGATCTTTGTCGCAATATTATCAACGACATGAATCAATACGGACTCTCTGTCGTGGATGACTTCCTGGGCACGGATAAGGGCCTTAAGATCCTGAATGAGGTGCGCAGCATGTATAATGCGGGCGCCTTTCAGGATGGTCAGCTGGTGCATAACATGAGAACCGATGCGCAATCCTCAAAGGTGCGCGGTGATAAGATTCGGGGTGATAAAATCAAATGGGTCGGCGGCAATGAGCCCGGCTGCACCAATGTGTGGTATCTAACCAATCAGGTGAGCTTTCGAATGGTCTAAATATTCCAACATCCAACTGACCTACTGTCTCTCTCATTTACAGATTGACTCTGTGGTGTACCGTGTGAATACAATGAAGGATAATGGTATCCTGGGCAATTACCATATCAGAGAACGCACGAGAGTAAGCACACTTGAAGTGAAAAATGGGAACTTTTTATTTAAGCTTTTGCTTTCTGCAGGCTATGGTCGCTTGTTATCCAGGCTCTGGAACGCACTATATTATGCATGTGGACAATCCCAACAAGGATGGACGCGTCATTACAGCCATATACTACCTAAATATCAATTGGAATGCCAGTGAAAGCGGCGGCATATTGCGGTAAGTTAATAATGCGTTGGCTTACAAAAGAGTTTTTTTTTTATAGTTGTATTTTTGTCAACAGGATCCGGCCTACGCCGGGTACAACTGTGGCCGATATTGAGCCCAAATTTGATCGTCTGATATTCTTCTGGTCGGATATACGAAATCCGCATGAAGTGCAGCCCGCGCATCGTACCCGCTATGCCATCACCGTCTGGTACTTTGATGCAAAAGAGCGTGAAGAGGCGCTAAATCGTGCCAAGTTAGAGAACAGCAAGACAAACAATGCCAACTCTATTGCCCAGCTTGCGGAACCCGATTCAACAACTACACCCGCGTCCCCAACAGTAGCATCAGCATCAGCATCTGCAACAGCATCTGCATCCAGCTGTTCCACGAACAAATCATTTACACCCGCCAGCATGACTACGGGCACAGGAGCACTGAACGCAAATGTGGCGAGCAGCTCCTGCCCGGCCAGTAACGAGATTTGCACGTAGCCCATTGTCGCTTAAACTGTGTATATATATATATATCTAGACCATGTGTTCTGACTAATGGCAAACCGATAGTGGGCAACTTAAAACTGTACATTATATCAATCAACAAACACATTGTATAAAGCTAGGTAAAAGCTATTTATATGTAGTTCTTAAGTACGTAATCTTATCGGATTCATAAAGTGCAGTCAGGCATAATGTCATTTGTTTTGGCTTTGCCTCAAGACTGCATGAATCTAACCTATATAAATGTGAATCAAAGCTCCTTTAGTCATTTAAAACTATAGTTGTAGTAACTAAGTCGTATGTTTAGTTCTTTAGTTCGCAATAACCTTTAGCTAACTGCCTTATCAGCGTCATGTTGATTGTTTTTTGAATATTGTATCTTATTATTTGCATATACGCATTGTAAAAACTATCAGAATTTGCGTAATTTGCCAAAGTATTAAAGCTTTAATGTAGCTTTAGGTGAAGCGACATTAAACGTGTTTTCCCATCTCAAAATTTTGTAAACGAAAAACTAACTACTTTGTTTGTCACGCATTGCCACTCAATTCGTCGACTCTCATGGACAAAGATCGAGATTTTAGTGCAAGCAACAACAATAACAATTATCAATCTCTCAATATAAAAGCCTCATAGAAAGCACAATAATTATATAATCATGTACATAAATGCTGCATATATCTATTTTTTGTATTAAATGACAAAATTTACGAAATGTTATATAAATCGATGCGCACAAAAGTGTGCACTACTTAAAATGTTTTTGAAATTGCTGCAGCGCCATCTGTTGTTCACATTTCTCGCATTTGCGACTCAAGCTGTTTGAAAATCTTAAAGCTCGAATATCTTCGTTATTTATCACATGAATTTGAAATGATATACCTCATTCGACTCGTACTTTCGATTAGCACTTAAAAATCTTGATTCCGAAAGATGGAATAGTTCGGCTTGTCCTGGAACCAGAAATAATTGGTGCCAATCGAAAATATATATTCATAGACCTCCTTTGGCTCGCATGGAATAGGATTCAACTTATTGAAACATTTGATTTGGAATATCAGAATTGTAAAATCTGAAAAATGGTAAGCAAGGTTATGAAGAAAATGTAAGTATATTAAAAATGCGTTAGTTAATATTTGAATATACACTTTATTTTTCAGAAAAGTTGTTCATCTTTGTAATGACTTTACATTTACATATAGTATATATATATATATATATATATTTAATCATTATATGTTCTTATACGTGTGTTGCAATTGGTGTTCCTGTGCCCACATTCTCCACTCTGCGCCGATACGTTACAAATTATAGCACACGTGATTTAAATTTCGCTTAAACTATAATTATATTAAAAACTTCAACAAATGCGAACTGAAATATCTATTTGTATGACGAACGAACAACTAAACGAATTTAATTTGAACATTGTTTTTAACATTGACAATATCCATTTTCATTTTGCTTCGTTCCTACCAAGGCATATCGACATAGCTCCGCCGACATATCTCCGCCCAGTTTGTTTTGCCGGCGGAATTATATGTAATATACATATGACATGCGGAGATATGTCGCTAGCCAGCCACAAACAATTTTTAACATTGCTGCACCTATGTACATATTTTCATTTTCCAAAAATATTTATGCATATGTATATGCATCATATATATGTACACGAGCGATCTAATTGCCATATCTATGGGTATATGCAGCAGCATACATATGTTTGTATGCATGCATATGGGTAACTATATTAACAAGTTGTCTCTATTTTCCATTACCTGCAATTTTTCGGTGGAAAAATACAATTTTCTGGTTGAACTTTTTATTCCTTATATCTCACTGCGCCCACTCGATCTGTTGGGCTCTCTATCACTGTTACTTAACATACGAGTATGTATCGCTGTGCACTGTTAGTTTACTTTTCTGTTATACTGTTATACAAGACAATTGCAATTTGTATCAATTTTCAAAGTTGAGATGCTTTGGTTGTGCTTAGAAAATTTTTGTGCTTTAATTGGTTACTGAAACTTGAAAGGAGGCATAATCTGATCGACGATATTTTCATAAGCATAAGCTTAATGCTAGGCATTTTAAGCAGCTAACTTCCCTGCAAGACCTACATAACCGGAAAGGGCTCTGTTATGTTCTTAACTTGGCAAATATGAATTGTATTTTGAATCAATAAGGTGTGAATGAGACGCATTTACAAACGCCAACAATTTCGGCTCTCCAAATTAGTTTATATAATTGATAATAATAACGCTCTTCAATAACATTAAACGTCTTAACGTTTGTGCGGATGGTTTAATTTACGTTATGTTTGGTGCACATCTACGAATTTTCGCAACTACTCAACACTGTTTTCTTGTATATTCACAACAACTATAGTTCAAAGCGGACACCGACACATACACAGCTAAACAAAATAACGGCAAGCAAGTTGAAGTAGGCTCTATTTAACTGGCCCTCTGGAATTACTCTCTCTCTCTCTCTCTCTCTCTCTCTATATATATATATGTATATATGTATTTACATAATTCGGTTGCTCTCTCTGTCTCACGAAACAATAATAAAATGGGCGCTCACATACATTATATATATTTATGTATATATATATTTATATATATATATATGTAAATTGTTAGTAATTTAGCAACAACGAAATGTGCGTTTGTTTTGTTGTTTTAGTTTTCACTTGGTATTTGCAATCTACAGTCTACAAGTTAATTGACAGAA